CTTCCTATTTTACATTATCGATTATTCATTCTAATCATTGGTACATTTTAGGTATACAATATAATGACATTCATCATTGGAAATTTGCACCTTGAAGTGGGGCTTAGTCTTGGCACACCGAATGCTCTCTAGACTTTACGTGTCTCTTCTCTCCCTTGCACCTCATCAGGCCGGGGCAGGGGGAATAACCAAAAATATGAATAAAGAGCAAAATAAAAGATAGATGGCAGAAAGTAGGGAGACCTTTTCAGATGGGAAGAGGAACAAGAGATAGAGGAAGGGGGCGGGAGGGAAAAAGAGGAATAGGAAACAGATGGAAATAGTCTTTGCAAACGGGAAGAGGACCGAGAGTTGGAAGGGGCAGGGAGGAATAGGAGAGGACGAAGAAATGAAGATGTGTTATGTACATGCAGCAGCTCCCCAAGGTACGTACGACCACTGCACACTCCAGGCATGTACTGATGAAGATAACATTTAGAAATAAATTTAAAAACTGAAAAATACCCAGGAGATAAGCTTCGAGCCCCTCCTCTGTTCCCGGGATAGGCACCCGAGCACTGTGAAGATTTAAGTGCGCAAGTTCCCGCCTCCGGTGTTTACACCCTGGGGGAAGAGAGGAGAAACACAGCAGCCGGGGAGAGGCGCTGCTGAGAGGCAGAGGGGCCGGGGAAGGACCCAGCCAGGGGTTGCAGTGCGGCCTTCGCGGTGGAGGCTGCGGCAGGCTGCCGGGCTTGTGCAGGCGTGGACGGAGCCGGCCAGGGCAGGGAGGCCTCAGTCTTCCAGCTAGTTACAGGCACCCAGGGGTACTTTCAGCCGCCAGAGGAAAAGTGAAACAAAAGCACATTTCCTTTTAAATTAGCACACATTGTGGAAAAAGAAGAAACACTTTATTAAAAAATAAAACATCAAGGAAATTTTCCATTTGACCTTACACCCAAATAACTGTAACCAGCATCCTTCATACGGGAGCCATGCGTGGCGTAAAGCATTGTATCCGCCCAGGAACGCCGCTGGCCCTCCCAGCAACATTCAGAGGAAACAGAGTTATGGGCAGACTGAGTAGCTTGCCCGGGCTCCCTGGCTTGTGAGTAGCAGAGCCAGGGTTTGAACTAGGTCCCTACTCCCAGGGCTTTAAGCTTTAACCGCTAAGGACACTGTTTCACTGCACCAAGCACCAGAGAACAGAGAGGGTGGAGGCGAGAGACAGGTGGCAGGGAAGCCTGTGTCTGTGGTGTAAAGTAATAGTGAGCGCCACTGTCCCAAAGCCAGGGTCCACCATGGGCAATCGCTGTAGCCTCCCTTTCCCCTTGCTGGGTGTGAGGAAGGCTAATGGAGTAGACGTGAAGCCCCGGTCCAGGGTCAGGGCTGGAAGCGTGTCCAGTCGCTAGGTGTACTGAGTGCTACACTGGGCAGAGGGGAGAATGAAATATTCTGCTAGTAAGTATTTCGCTGAAAAAAAGCCTAAATTGGAAGGGAGTATGTATGCTAAGGTTGGAAAAGCAGTTTATGGGTAGGTTACGTAGCGCTTTGCATTTTCCTGCAAAGCCTATTCTGCAGGCAGTAGTGAGTCATGGAAGGTTTTTGAGCGTGGAGTGACACTTAGGAAGAGAGTCAGAGGAAGCAAATAAACTCCACTGGCCCCTGCAGGAGCAGAGGAGGAACTTGTGTTTCCCAGAAAGCCTATCTGGATTTACTGAAGGAGAGCTGCTGTTTGTCTTGGGTCAATTTGGACATGAGACTGTTAGAATGCTTTTCTCTGCTCTGTTATTTGGACTGACTGTTGTCCCTGAAATATTACTTATTTGACAGATAATCAATCCTTTACTGTCTAATCATACACACCATCATTATTGTTCTTATTAACATTTTTATTACTTTTCTCTCTGCCTGTGTTTGTGGGTGTGTGTATTTGTGTATGTCTCCAGCGATGTTTTCTGTCCTGCTTTGTAAGCTATCAAGGGCAGGTGCTTGGTGAATATAGTCCTTTGTGTGCAGCCTCAAGCTTAGCTCCATGTTCAACGAGGTCCTTACTAGATTATTTATGGTGATGACCCATGAATATCTGGAGATGTTGACAGTCATCAGAACGACTCAAGGTAAGTTCTGGGATATCATCGAAACTCAGTACCTTCCGGTGCTGTGGGCAGGAGAACAAAGTGAAGGGACTCTCAGAGAGCTGCAGGAGAGAAAGAGAAGAGATATCCACGGTCACAGGGATGTAAGTTGTGGAGAAGGAAATCGGGCCGCTCCTGGAACAGGGGGCTTGTGGCTGGCTGCGGAAGGAAGGATTCATTCTCAACACTGTTGGGACCAAGTGAAGCGTTTTCTCGCAGAGGTTTGTGTTTAGGGTTCTGCTTAATTAACACGCGGATGTTTTCTTTCCTGCTCCATGCTGGCCAGTCCGTAACAAGTGTGCCCTGGGCACTCATGGCTGCCAGCACATTTGTGTGAGTGACGGAGCTGCATCCTACCACTGTGACTGTTTCCCCGGCTACACCTTGAACGAGGACAAGAAATCGTGTACAGGTGAAGATTGGCCCTGTGAGCCTATTTCTCACAGGAGGAAAATGTCCTAGGAGAAAGCTCCTCTTCATGTCTAGCTGTGCTCCTTTCTCTGGCCAGAGCCTTCCAGGGGTTTCCAGTTGTCCACAGGTTAATAAGCCTCCCCTGCCAGTCTGCTCTCCTTGATCAGATCTCACATCTCTGCCTTTTTTCTTCCTAATTTCCCTGTCTAGTCTGGGGTTTTGCTGTGGTGAAATATAAATGACATAATGTACTCCATTCTGACCACAGTAAGCGTACAGTTTGGTGACATTCAGTACATTCGCGCCATTGTGCAATGTCCCCACTACCCAGCTCCAGAACAGTTTTGTCACCCCAAAATGAAACTGCTCCGTGAGCAGTACCTACCCATTCTCCACTCCTGCGGCCCCTGCTGACCTCTATTCTACTCCATCTCGTCTTTTCAAGCTCTTTTTCTGCAACGTTTGCCACGAGCTTCCCTCTGCTCACAGTGGACATTTGATATTCCAGAAACATGCTCTGTACCGCTGTTTCCATCCTTGCTGTAATTGACTTCCCTCACCACTTTCCAGGTGAAAGCAAACGTACCCATTCAGCAACAGCAGTGCAGGCAAGGGCCAGAGCCCAGATGGGGCTGGAGGGACCTGGAGGTCGGGAGGGCCCTGGGGGAGGCGCCATCTGAGAGCTGGCGAGCAGCTGTGCTCAGGGTTCTGCGGCGGGGCTGCGGAGGGGAAGGAGAGCAGTCCAGTCCTGAGCGGCGGCCTAGCAGGGGAGAGGAAATTAAGGGCGGCCGGTGCGAGAGGAATGGCCCTGGGAAAGGAAGTTGGGCACAGCCAGTCGTGTGTCCCTCTGGGCCGCCGGGCTAGGAGTCCATGTTTCGCTCTAACAGCAATGCGACTCCGTGGAAGGGTTCGAGGCAGTGACAAGGGCTGAGTCCATTCCTATTTTCAGAAGTCACCCTGGCTTGCCCATGAGGAAGGCTGGGCAGGATGAAGACCAGTACGGTGGGCAGGCTTGGGACAGGATGGTGACAGAAGAGACAGAAGTGAACTGACCGGGCCACGTGTTGGCCGGCACTGGTGTGGCTGGAAGGCTGAGAGGAAGGGCCTAATACCAGATTACGGGGTGCTCTGGCCACTGCAATTGTCACTTTCGTGTAACGGGACTAGGATTTCCCATTGTAGAATACCCTCGAGCGACCCTCTTTAGTAAGGCTCTGGAGTTTTCCACACAGTCTGTGGCACAACCAAGCTTACTGTCAGCCTGAGAGTGAACTCACGTCAGCCCTGTTGGAAGCCAGCTGACCGTAAACGTGAGAGTTTATTTCCGGAATCTCAATTCTGCTCCATTGATCTCCTCATCTTCCTCAATTACTGCAGCTTTGTAATAAGTTTTGAAAGGAGGAGGTCTCCAGTTTTGTTCCTCTTTTAAAGGTTGTTTTGGCTAGTTTTTCAAAGATTGTTTGGTCTCTTTCTTCTCCTAACTTGTCAGTTCCCCCCCAGATGGCACTGCGACTTTGATAGACACAGAATCAAATCTACAGATCTGTTTGGGCAGTGTTTGGATCTATGCTGATGCTCTTTCAACCCATTAGCATGGGTGTCTTCCTATTTATTTAGGTCTTCTTTAATTTCTTTTAACAATGTTTTATAGTTTTTTATTGTACAAGTCTTGTACTTTTTTTTTTTTTTTGAGACAAGGTCCCACTGTGTAGTTCAGGCTAACCTTGAGTTCACTGTGTTGCCCATGCTGGGCTCGAACTTGCTGTGATCCTCCTGCCTCAGCCTCCTGACTGCTGGGGTTACAAGCCAGCATATCATAGATACACCTGCACCCTCATGTTTATTGTGGCACAGTATACAAGGTATGCTTGAAACATACAGTGAATGTTTAAATTAAAAACAATTTGTTACAGTAAAAGACACATTGCCATCCATCCCCCTCAAAATACTCCCCTTATCCCATGCCGGAGTGCCAAATCCCAGCCAATGGAAAGGCAGGGGCAACTAAAGATATTCATGAAAAAGGACTTCAGAAGTGCTTTCATGGGAGAGTATTCATGGGGAGCGTGTATCTTTCACTGTCGTACATTTGTAAAAATTAAAACACTCATTGTAGTTTTTGATTACACCACATACATTAGCCAAGATATGGAATCAGCCTCAGTTCCCATCAACAGATGAATGGATAAAGAAAATGTGGTATACATACACAGTGGAGTATTATTCAGTCATAAAAAGAACAACATTTTGTCATTTGCAGAGAAACGGATGGGTCTAGGGATCATCATGTTGAGTAGTAGCAGCCAGACTCAGAATTGTAGGGTTCCTGACTTGCTACCATTCGGAGACCGCTAACATTTGTCTGCTGTCATGGTCTGCAGCCGTTGAAGAAGCACGGAGACTCGTTTCCCCTGAAGACGCTTGTGGGTGTGAGGCCGCACTCGCCTTCCAGGGGAAGGTCAGCACCTATCTCCAGAGACTCAACGGCAAGCATATCCTTTCTGGGAGGTTTTCTGTTTCTGCTTGGAGCCAACCTAGGTACCACCACTGCGCCAAACGTTTTGGGATGTTCTCCAGGCGTGTGCCTTATTTATTGCTCTAAAATAAGCAGAAGTAATACATACACAGCTTTTTTTTTCTTCCAATTTTAAAAAGATGATTTAATAGGCAGTTCTCACCATTTCATACTCACACGTGAAAGCCACATACGATTTCTTTCCTGGGTGCTTTTCCACAGCAGTATTTCTTCTCCTGAGCTCTTACATAATGGTTGGAATGATTATACTATGATTCCTTAATGGGGTTCTCTAAGTTCGGAATCTGTATTCACACAGAACAAATCAGCTGATCAATGTGTGACATCTCAGATTACACGTGGTCCTACACGTGGCCAGAAAGTAGATTTTAAAATGTGACACGGACCTCAGAGTCAGTTCTTTAGTAAAACCATTAAGACAAAGCACAGCTTAAGTGAATAGCCCTGTTCCCCATACCTTAGACGGGGGCAGGCAGGCCGTGGTAGGTACGGCCCAGAAGCATGGAGGTCTCCTAGCTTCAAAGGGCTCTGTTTCCAAACTCTTCAGGTACCTGGAGTTAGGCTTGTCTTCCCGCCCCCCATTTCAGGGTTGACTCCCCTGACTACCCAAGAAAGGCAAACCGCTCACTCCCCCTGATGCACTCACACATATTTCCCGGAAAAGCAAAGTGTTCAGAGCCAAACAAAGAGACAGTTCAGCATTTCCTTTCATCATGACTGTGTAGACACTGTTCCCCTCACCCACCCCACGGGGGGATGTCTTTCCCCTTGAATTTTATGAGCAAAACATTGGCTACAGTGGTCTAATTCTATCCTGATCTCTAGGAGTAAAATTTCTGAATTTTAAATTAGGCCTTTGGTGAGCAAATAGTTTTGTTTTCTTCATTTACAATGGGACATGCTTCTTTTACCTTGTGTCGAAGTCTACTAAAGGCGCATTTATGTTTTCTAACGTGTGTAGATGGTGTTGGCCTTAACCATCAGCCACTTGATGACATTTTGGAGAAGTTGCAAGTACATGACTATGGACAAATACATCGTTAAGTGGCTCAAAATTTTCACTTGGAAATGTGGAAGCCTCAGTGTGATATTCATTGCACACTTGCGTCTCCCACGTCTCTGCTGACGATTTGCCATTGTAAATGCTTGAGTATTACTGGATAAACAGTATGAGGATCTTCTGGGGAATGAGTATTACTTTTCCAAGGAAATAAAGGTGCAGATCTTTAAAAGCAAACTTTATTGTCTTTAAGCTGTAACCGTAAGCTGTAACTAACTGTAAGCTGTAACTAACTGTAAGCTGAAATGGTAGGTGGGAAATAGAATGAAAAATTTAATGCTTCTGGCTAGGCATGGTGGCACAGGCCACTCAGCACTTGGGAGGCTGAGGCAGGACGAGTTCTGTGAGTTCTAGTCAGCCTGGGCTATAGTCAGTTCAAGGCTGACCTGAACTAGCGTAAGACGGTCTCAAAAAGCCAAAACAACAACCACAACAAGATAATGTTTCTTTCATTATCTACTAATTGAGCCACTTAAATTTAAATATTCATATTAGTAAGACAATGGTATTCGGATTGGAAACTTTAGTTCTATTTTCTTGAAAGTATTTATAATGTAAGCCAGTTTTATTACTGAGAGTGCAAATTGTACAAAGTACTTACATTTAGAAAGTTCATATAATTAAATTGAGAGGAAAATAGAACTGTAACACTTTTCATTTTTTACTCATCTTTGCTGGTTATTGAAGTTGTGATAAAAAGATTGTAAAACGTATCTAAAATCAGTCATCACAGATCAGGAGAACATTATATGTCATTTTAAACTCATTCTGGTCTTGGAAATGCAGATGCACTACCTGTGAATTTAAGTGTTAAATTTCTACCAAGGACAAAAAATTCTAAATTTACTTTATCATTTTGATTTAGGATCTAATCATTAAAATTAGGTATTATAAAATTGGTATAACAAGGAACAAAATTGAATATTGTCTTTCTTAATGTTAGTGATAAGCCTCATTTTTCATATACATTGATACATATACTTTTTCTTAGCTATACAGCTTATAAACTTTTAGAATAAAATAGTCCTTTAAATTGTGTACTACTTAGTTCTTTTTTGGTATTGTTTTAATAAAAAGTTATCTTTACATGTCAGTGTCATGACTGGTCTCTTAGTAATTCATGTCAATTTTGTGTAGTAATGTATTTTCTCATTTTGAATTGAATGATTATTTTGAATATGTGACATTTTCTTGCTAGTTAAAGGAAGCAATGTTGATATTCTTCCTATAATGTAATCTCACACTCTTGAGGCTAAAGATGTAGTACAAGTTAGATAGAGGGGTTTAATCAAGTACATCTGGGAGAGAGTAATATAAAATTATCTAAATTTAGATAAAATAATTATGAGCTTTACATTGACATAAACTCGTGAAAAGTAAATATAACCTACAGATATAAAATATCAACTTTAGAGAAGTAAAAAATAAGCTGGGCATGGATGGTGCAGCATGCCTGTTAATTTCAGCACCCGGGAAGCTGAGCCAGGAGGATTGCTGAGTTGAAGACCATCCTGGATTACCCAGCAAGACCTTGTTTCAAAAAATTGAAGAAAAAAAAGAGGGAAAAAGAAAGAAGTAAAAAATGAATACATGATGACACTATATATGAAACATTTGTTACTTTTCAAAAAATTTGAAAGGACATGATCGAGCTACAGTAATACAGAATCAGTAATATAAATATATATTAATATGTCACAGATAATTACTGGGACGGAGAAATAAATGAGAGCTCATAGACAGGAGGGAAAGGTAAAGAGAGGAGTTTTCAGGAGCATGAGCATGAGGAAGTAGCTTTAATTAATCATGCCTCAACATTAATACTGATGCGTTTCCTGAGTAGCCTATGAGCAGGTGTCAGTGTACCTTGGGCACTTACTATTTAATTCTTAAAAAATTAAACAAATAACTGAAAATGTATCAACTGAGTGGAACATACGTTAAGTTTGCAAAGAACTCTGGGACCTGAATTGTGCCAGTTTGGGTAAAGCGCCTTTTAGAGGCTATGTGAGGTGGCTTGGAAGGCTGGAACCCAGGAAGATGCTGTGCTGGCTTTCCCAGGGGAGGGCACCCCTGCAAGTGTTGTGCCCAGATCGCGATGTCCCAAAGACCACCAGGAGACCGTTTCCGATGTAAGCACACAAGGGTCGTTTATTCAAGCTTAAGCAGGGACTCTCAATTGTCACCGACGCAGCGGATCGAGATTGAGAGCCCCGAGCCTCAAAACTAGCAGGGTTTTTATTGAGTATACAACAAGCTTTGGTTGTTAGTAGCCAGGTGATTGGTTAATACTAAATACATATGAAGTGTAGGGTTTTGATTGGTTAGGCTTAGGGGGGGTTAAGGGGGTTACGTATAGATTTTTGTGAGGGAGAAAAGGGGCAAAGATTAACGGCCGGTTGTTACATACTGATCGTTAGCAGACCCACTAATGGCCGCATCTATCTTGTGTGGACAGTCAGCTCATTAACTGCTTATCCTACAGATAGTGTGCCTGGAACGCTCTCTCCCCGGGTACACAGGTGGTTGGGTAATAAACTCAGGAATTTCAAGTGGTGAATTCCTAGTTTAAGCACAAATTTGAGAGAACAAAGGAGACGGCTCCAAAATGGAGTCATTTTGGTCCCACACAAGAACATTTTAGGATAGAGGGAAGACCTGAGTATGGCTGGAGTTTAGGCTTGCCAGTCCTCGAAGGCGCTGGGTGAGACAACGTGTTTAGGTCAGAGGATTCGGCTGACACTGAAAGACTCCAAGTGGGAAGCTAACCCTGCTGCATAAAGTACACACCAGATTACGTAAATCAACAATGGGAGCCATCGGTCATGCTAAAAAGAAGAAACCAGAAGCCAAGATGGGCGAGACCAAATAATTACAGCGATGATGTGCATTCTACTTGGTTAATGCAAGAAATGCTCTACTACTTGCATTTCTGCCTTATGTCTTCGATTTTGGGGCACGGTAACTCTCGGGCATTCAAAAAGGAGAAAGAAGGGGGATGCCCCCCCCCCCCCCAGGTAGAAAAGAGAACGTGGGGAAGCCGCCTCCCGGGAGAAGCTGCAGACGGCGGCCGCGGGGCTCCGGTCGTAGCTAGGCTGACAGGACCGCGGCTCGAGCACCCGCTCCTGAAGGCTCCCCCGGAGGCTCCCGGCGGCTCCCGAGCTGCTCTCAGATTTCCAAACAGAACGGAAGCCCGACTCCGGCTGGCTCCGCGGGTTCTCCAGCCCGAGGACAGGAGGAGGCCACCCTGGAAGCACGTTCGCGCCGCGTCTGGCCGCCTGCCGAACGCGGTCAAGGCCCTCGCGCTCTCAAAGGCCGGTCGTGGGCTTCACACCCCCGGCGCCGGGACCCGCGCTCGGTCCCCAGCGCTGCATCCGGGCCGCCAGCCGGGTCGCGACCACCGCGCAGGCGCGGAGGCCCCCAGCCCCGGAAGGGCTCCTCTGGCCCGCGCGGCGGTTGCCAGGGCGACGGGAGCTGCCCCGGCCGCCGATCCTCCTCGGGAGACGCGGTACCGGTCGCCTCTTGCGGGCTCTGACCGCCGCGGTCACGGCGGTTCTCACGATGTTCTTCTACCTGAGCAAGAAAGTGAGTGTCTGGGCGCTGTGCCCCTCCCGCGTGCCCTCGGGCGAGCCCCGCTCCCCTCCCCGGAAGCCCGGCGGCGCAGCGCGCCCCCGCAGGTCCCGGCCCAGAGCCCGGCCTGGCGCGGCCCGCGGCTCCCACGCGACCCCTCCGGTGGCCCGCGGGACGCACCGGCCGGAGCTGTCGCGTCTTCTCGCCTCCTGCTGCTGAGCCGCCTGACCGCAGATCGTCACAGGCGGCCCGGCAGGGGGACCCGCAAAGAAAAGGCAGCGGCGTGTGGTGTCGGCACGGGACACGGGCGGGGATGTGGGCCCCGTCCATCCCGTGACTGCTCCCTGTCCCCCGCACCCCTGCCCTCCGTGTGCTTTCCCCTTCCCAAAGTGGGGGACCGTGGCCATTTTCAAAGCAGCTCATTTTTCTGCAGTTTTTCTTGCTGGAAGATTTTTTGTCTTCATCTACAGTACACTGACTTCTCCACTCTTCCGAGAAAAGTTGCTCGCGTGGCTGTGCTTCCTCTTACAGATTACCATTCCCAATAGTGTGAAGCTGAAATGCATATCCTGGAACAAGGACCAAGGCTTCATAGCCTGTGGTGGTGAGGACGGGTTACTGAAGGTTTTGAAGTTAGAGACACAGACAGGTAAATAAATGCAAGCCCCAAGGCTTGAAGTTGGCTGTTGATGAGATTTGCTCATGGTATTTATCAGCGTGTAATTCTGATTCTTTTAAAAAGAAAGAAAGAAAAATCCCCAAACCCAAACATACCTTTTGTAGTTTTCCCAGAGGTGGGGTGTGTGTGTGTGTGTGTGTGTGTGTGTGAGCGATCGAGCCCAGGGTCTTGTATATGCCAGGCAAACTGTCTGCCCCTGAGCTACATGCCTAGACTGTTCTAGAATATTTTTACAATAAAATTCACAGAATGTCAGTGAAAACATGTGGCTTTTGCTGAAGTTATTAATGGAAAATGAAAAAGAATGAAACTAAGTCACTGTATTTTTCCAGTTATTGTGCTGTTTTATTAAGAGTCCAATAAAAATCATGCAAATCCCAATTTCAGTAACATCACAAAATCTCCCAGTTGCCATGTCACTTGCAGACCTGTCTCATCTTTTCTCTTTACCAGGTGTGTTAATGACTCTACAGTTAGTGCCTCCAAACTGAAAGTGAAATATATTCTGTGTTTTTTAAATAAGACCTTGTCTTTATGGCTTGAATTTTTTTTCTAGTTCTCTTGAATCACAGGAAACAGATTGGGGAATCTAGGGAATCCCTAATCTGGTTTGGAAGTCTAGATGAAGAGATCGCAGTTGAATTCAGCTCTGTCCTAAGACTGAATGACTTTCACTCAGGTTGGTGAATATCTAGGTTTTAGTTCAGTTTTGTAAAACAAAGGAGTTCAGTTAGATTGCATTTTGGGTTCCTTACAGTGTTTCCCCCCACATTTTATCAGGTGTAAAAATCACTAGAAGAAGTTGTTAAAATGGATTTCTAGGCTGTACCCGGAGAAGGTCTGGGATGAGGCCTAGGAATTTTCATCTTTCCTGATGCTGGTGCTGCTGATTTTCAGGCCACACTTTGGGCAGTGCTGCCTCACAACTGTGAATCATAAGTACTTAGTGAATGCTTTTTATGTGCTGGATGGTTAACCTATATTGTTTCATTTGATTTTGCAATGGTCATCGCTTCTCAGTCTTTTGGCTAAGATCGGGTGATTTTGCAATGGTCTTTCTGAGGTGGGTATTCTAGGTGACAAAATTGAGGCACTGATCAGTTAGTAACTTACTTGCGGAAGGTCACACAGCCAGTAAATTGCAGAAGTGGGATTTAAAACTAAGTCTGTCTCCCTTTCAAGTCCTTATTTTTAACCATTACACAAAGGGTTTGTAGCCTAAGCAAGAGATTGTTTTGATGTGCTGCTTTAATCATGTGACACACTAAGGGTAGGCTTGAAGATACATTTTGTATCAAAGTTTGGCTTTCCATGTTTTGTAATTTAACCTCTCAGTGTGTTAGTTTTCTTAACTGTGTTAGAATTTTTCTGTTATGTTTCTCAAATATATGTATACGAATGTATTTTGCTTAAAGTATGTAACAACTTTCAATTATATTAAGAAACGCGTTCTTTTTATTTAGCACTGAAGTCCTTTTTGGGTGGGGCAGAGGTCTCTGTTACTCCGGCTGGCGGGGCTGAAGCAAACACCCAGCCGCTGGGACTGCAGGTGTGTGCCACCACACCTGCCAGGCTTTTCAAATTAAAACTTCTTTCTAGCTCTGCACTGTTGATGAACTGTAGTTAGAATGTTGAAATTAGAGTAGGTTCTTGGGAGGTTTAGAAAGTGGAGTAAATTATTTGCTTTGGAATTTAATGATTGTGGATTGTGCTGAGAGTCTAACTAGGCCCGTGTATCATATTTAATAATAATAGTGATGCTGCAGATCCCTCCAGTGATAATTACCATGTTCCAGAAATCTCAGAAAGAAATACACAGAGACACAGAATTTGGGTAAAATAATAAAATTTCTACTCACGAGTGGGCGGGAATGCCAGAAACCAGTCTGGTTAGTACCCGTGCCCCTTTATTCAGGGTTTCCCTTTTTATATCCTTTTTAGCCATTATCTCATCCCTAGTGGTCTGTGATGTGTAAATGCAATTCCAGTTCCTATTTACAAGTCACAGACACAAGATAGACACATATACATTGTAAATTCACCCTGGCATTGCAACTTTGTCAGGTTAATGAAGTTACTGGTTAAAGAGATTACCTTCACCTTAAACAAGAAGTTATGGGAAAAGCAAATCTTAAAAGAACACATTACTTATTTTGATTCTACAACTACCTTAATATTCAGTCTATTAAATTATCTAAAACTTTTCCCTGTCATTCCTCCCTCTGTTTACTTCAGGATAATTTTTCTATCCATTATAAGTTCTATCCAGTTTATCTACATTTTTTAACACTAGCATTTGGTAGTGTTGAGCTGCAGCAATGTGCTGCTGTATAAATTTTGAAATCTGTTGGGTGACACAAAGACCAAACATTAATATTAATATTATAACAAGAAGGGGACTCAGAAAAGGTCCTATCCAAGTTTTCCATCCTGTCCAAGTAAAATTAATCCCACAGGAGAGCTCTCCTATACCAAATTCTTCATCAAGAGCCTTGATCCGATCTTTCAGTTTGTCTAGTGATTTTTGTACTACACCAGATTTATTAGTGTAATAACAACACTCTTCACCAAGAAATAAGCAAGTCCCTCCTTTCTGAGCTGTGAGCAAATCAAGAGCGCACCTATTCTGTAATACGACATTGGCCAGTGAATCTAGTTGGGTTTCTAAAATCTGAAGTGCGTCTCAAATTTCCTCAAGATCTTTTTAAATTTCTTGTCCTAATGAAATATATTACTCCCTGTGGAGCTGGCATATACATAGATATACGATTACATTGACAATTGTTGACAATTGTTAAATTACCAGTGGCTCGTCCAATGCGGGAGCTGTTGATCCAAACTTGTGTTTTCTCTTTGCAATATAATTTTTCATTAGAATAGCTCCCCACAGTCAGAAGTTACCCCAGATCCCCCATAATGTTTTCTTGGGCAGGCATCAAAGAATATTGTAAATGGATAGCCTTCCGGTTCCCATTTTATCATTTTAAAAGTCACATATTGTTCATCAAACTTTTCATAACTAGGCCTAAACACCCACAGTTCGAAAACAGAGAAACTTAAGGCAGTGGTGATCTGGCACAACACAATAACCCATGTTGTCCTTGTTGGTGCTTCCATCCTTCGGCCGTGCATTGACTCACCAGTCTCTGGAGTGGTGAGAGCAGGGCTTTGAGTGCGTTGTCTTTCTCAGCTCTCAGCATCAGCTTTATTGTTACCTTGTGCAACGAAGTCTTTGCCTTTCTGATGTCCTGAACAATGTTTTACTGCGACTTTGCTAGGTTCCCACACTGCCTCTAGCAACTGTATAATTTCCTGTTTATTTTTAATTAGCTTCCCTTCTGCCGTGAGAAGACCTTGCTTTTGGTAAATCATGCCAATTTACCTTTTTACCCTCTGCCCATCGGAGTGCCTGTATGAGTGCCCAGAGCTTAGCACACTGCTGACTAAGGAAGGGGCCCTGGCTAGGACCACCTCTCATCCTTCATGGTTCCTGCATATCCAGCATGATGAATCCCATCTTCCACGAAGCTGCTCCCATCTGTGAACAGAACGAGGTCAGCATCAGACAAGGGTGTCATTTGTAGGTCAGGGCGGCTGGAAAAGAGCTCATCGGTGACACTCAAGCGGTCATGATTAGGAGGGCCTGTCTCTGTGGGCAAGAAGGTAGCAGGATTTAAAGCTTTTACAGGAATAAACCGTAAGCGGGCATTCTCACAGAGAAGGGCTTGGTACTGAGTAACTCGATTATTTGAGAGCCATCGGTGCCCTCTTATGTTCAATAGTTTCAAGACTGCGTGTAGAACCTGCACAGTCAGTTCCTGACCTAAAGTCAGCTTGTCTGCTTCTTGGATTAATAAAACTGAGGCCCCAAGGCCTGAAGGCAGGGAGGCCACCCTTTTGCTACTGGATCTAAATTCTTAGACAAGTATGCCACCGGTTGGTTCCCTGGGCCTACTGCTTGGGTTAATACCCCAAGGGCCACGTGGTTCTTCTCAGTCACATAAAGAACAAAAGGCCGCTTTACATCCGGTATACTTAAAGCAGGGGCGGCTGCTAAGGTCGGTTTTAGTCTCTTAAAAGCTTTTTTTTTTCTCTGTAGCCCAAAGTAAATGATTTTTTCCTTTAGAGCTTCATAAAGAGGTTTAGTGATCTATTTAAAACCAGGAATCCAAATTCCACGGAAGCCTGTCACCCCAGAAACTCCTTCAGCTGTCTCTTATCTCATTCATCTTTCCTCTTAGCCCATTCCTTCTCTCTTGTTGACTCTTCTTGTGCACACTTTTTTTTAGCCAATTGTAGCAACTGTGTTATATTCATACCCTCCCAAGTTTTGTTT